TCTTTCCCTTTATCCAAGCCACCCAAGATTAAAATGAATCTACACAGCTTTTTCTAAACAGACACTTTATGAGATGATTTTTTTTTTTCCTAGACTGCTGGTTTCTGACTTCAGTTGTGCAAGATCTTAATTAATGATTAACCCACCGTAAGGTTGAAATATGCAAGTCATTCTCAGGATATTAACATAAACAACGCCAGAGAAATGCAATTGTGCTTTCAAGATGACCTTGCTACCTTGGGAATGCCAGGAGTTCTGCTGAGGCCTTGGGCACTGTGACAACTCAACACGCTGCCCAGTCGTTCCCATTCCCTTTCAGAACGTCTGTCCTGATGATCTTGAAAAGCAGACGTGCACTTCCCTGCCTGCTATTGACCTAAATCACTAAAAAACAGCTTTGACTTTCTTCAGGAAACACCACCCATTAACACAACTGTGATACAGCTACTATATAAACAAATTAACAAGAAACTCAAGTGGATTAACACCACTCTGATATTGCAACATCTCATTTATATCAGCACTAGAGCTCAAAGTATATGCAAAATGCATTTCTGATATGTCTGAAAAGGTATGTGCGATACCCCATCTCATTCTCTGCGGCTGGGGTTACACCCCTAAGGTCTCTGGTCTGCCTGGGTCCTGAGCACCTACTGAACTCTCTGCTCCCTGTATGCCTATCAGACACAAAACTGCCCCATCATGCTGACCTGTAAAACAAACAAACCCCAGACGAGGTAGGCCTCGTAACAAGAGAAACTACCTCTACTGTGCATCTAAAAGCCAGCAAAGTCAGGTTTTATGCTCCAGTGTGCCTAGTAAATGCTGAATCACGCTTGACTGAGTTTCAGGGCCAAGTCCTGCCTGGCAACAAAATGGTCGGAGGGGTGTTGCAGGGAGAAGCTGCACATTAGGGAATAAAACAAGGCAGTTTTGTGGCACCAGGTCCTTCCCTCCTAGCACAGAGGCAGGCTGTGTCATGCAATCATGGTCATTCAGGATGCCAAAGAGTGAAAAGACTATGGAAATTTTTAGAAATTTGGTACTGTAGAAGTATTTCCATACGAAGTATT